ATAAATTCATCTTAATTTTAAATATAAATCACTTTCACAAAACTTTTGAATATCCTATTCTAAAGATCAATTGTCATAATTTCCTTTTATATTTTTTCAATACGTTTAATATCTATCTAGATATTTATTTATGAAATTAATATTATAGATTTAATATTATATAATTATATGTTCATTAATAATTTATTTTCTCAGAATTATTAATTAATTAATTTAATGAATTCGGAAATAATGTACAATAATTTTTAAATATAGCAATGGTGGATAATTTGACAAGAATGGATTAAAGGATGGTTGGTGGATCGAGTTGAATGATAGCATAACTAAGTATGTATTATAATGATTTTAAAGTCAGAGTCAAGTTTCTTATTACTTTGGAGAATATAAGTTAGGAAAAAAAATTGGTAGATGGGAAACTAAAATTAAGTTTGACAACTTTATTGAATTTGAAGTGATGTAGAGAATTATTAATAATTAAAGTGGTGAAGGAATATATGATTAGAATGAAATCAAAATTGGTTAATGGGTGGAATTAGTTAATAATTATTCCAAGTATTGTCATACTAAATAGTAAAAATTAGGTTAAATATTCCGGTGTTTATAAAAAAGGATACAAAAGTGGTTAATGGTATACTTTATAAAAATAAGACAATGATTTTGAGATTGTGTAATAATTATAGAATATTCATGAAGTGGAGGGGGATTTTATGAAGAAGGATTGAAAATTGGAAAATGGATGGAATTGAGTTCAAATAATGACTATCACTTCACTCATATTGGAGAATATAATCAAGGTTTAAGGATTAATAGATGGAATATTTTATTTTTGAATCCAGATACTGATGATTACAAAATTATGTATTTGAAAAAATATGATTCATAGAGGTGGAGGTTCATATAATTTAAATGGAATGAAGCATGGAAAATGGGTAGAAGTATAGAATAAAAAAGGAGAGTAATTAAATTTATAATTAGATTTGACATATTTGCTTACTCTGGAGAATATAAAAATGGAAAAAAATATGGTAAATGGGAGATTCTTTAAGGATCAACTACAAAACAAGAATATTTTATTATGTATAATTTATTATAAACGGTTTAGCGGAGGAGGTAGTTTTGATGAAAATGGATTTCAACAAGGCTTATGGATGGATATAGAGTAATGTTCATTTTAGTTTGATTAATTTAATTACAATGGATTATTTGTTCTTTCTATTGGTAAATATTAAAAAGGGAAGAAAATTGAAAAATGGGATACCATATTTCATATTGATAGAGTAAAGGAAGCTAAAAATTTGTAAATTATTTTATGATAACAAAAGGGGAGGCGGATAGTTTGATGAAAATGGAATCAAGTAGGGTTAGTGGACTGAAATACATGATAAATTTCATAGGTTTCTAATTTGAATAAATAGTAGTGAGAAATAAATAACTTATTTTGGATTTTATAAAGATGGAGTAAAAGTTGACAAATGGGAGACAAATTATATGAAGAGAGGCCAATATGAATTCATGATTATGTATTTAAATGTTTTATAGACTTAAGTGGTGGTGGCATATTTGATAAGAATGGATTTAAATAAGGCAAATGGATGGAGTTACATGAAAACTTTGATAAGTACTTTGGTTATTTATCTTTAGTAATCTGCTGGTTACATATTATGGTGACTATGAATTTGGCAAAAAGATTGGAAGATGGGACACTTTATTACTTTAAGTTGATGAATCAATAGACAATTCTGATTGGTAATTATTATTGATATGTATAGTTATTCTGAATCATCAAGCTAAAATGATAATTCGGTAGATGTATCTATGAAGTAAACTTTTATTATTTTAAGCAATTCATTTTAATAAAATAATTTATAAAATTAGAATTAAATAGAAGAAGTTGATGATTAAAAAGAAGGAATTGACTTCATTTTATACTGTCAAAAAGAATTTAACATTATGTAAATTAATTTTAATATTTAGTGGAGGTGGATAATTTGATAAAGATTAGAAAAAGCATGGATTTTGGATAGAAAATTATTTTGATAAATCATTAAAGTATTTTTATATATTAAAAGATTAGTGGAACTATTGTTAAGGGGAATTATAATTAAGGAATAAGGGTAGGAGATTGGATGTCATTTTCTTATAATAATCAAAATAAAAAAATGTATTTTTAATATATAATTTAGTGGAGGTGGATATTTTGATTAGAATGGAATCAAGTAAGGTTAATGGTTAGAATTGCGTTCATATTTCAAAAAGTTTATTTATAAAAAGATTTAATAGCAACTGTCTTATCGACTTTGGAGATTATAAAGATGGTATAAAAATAGGTAGATGGGATATTGTATAATAAATAGATAATACTCCTCAATATTCAATTATGTAACTTATAATGAATATTAAATAGTGGTGGAGGATTTTACGACTTAAATGGCCAAAAATATGGTGAATGGATTGATATACAAAAACCTAGTTTGTAAGATTTAAATTTATATAGCTCTTATTATTTAATAACAATATTCAAAGGTGAATATAAAAATGGGAAGAAATTTGATAATTGGGATATAAAATAGAGTTCAAAATAATGTGAGATATTTAAACCAATGTAAGAACTTATTAAATACAAAGATGTGGAGGATAGTTTGATATAGATGGTCAAAAACAAGGTTGGTGGTTAGAATATTGTAACAATTAAAAGTATTTCTGAACTCTTATTATAGATTCAAATAAATAATATTTATTGGATAATATAGAAATGGATTAAAAATTGGTAAATGGGAGTAGATGAATATAGATGAAGATAGCTCTAATTTTTAAATCAGGTTTAAAAAAATACATAAAAAATAGATATGCAGGATTATTTGATGAGAATGGATTGAAGAATGGAGTATGGTACTTGAATTCAAAAAGTTATCAAAGGTAATACTAATTTTATCTTATTTTAGTAACACTTACAAAGTATAATACAAAAAAGGGTTTAGAATTAGTGCATGCAAAAAAAATTTATAATCAATATCCTTGTTTTGACATTGAATTGAATATTGATATAAAAATACATAAATAAACTGCAATGTTTCTTTTATATATAACATCATAAAATTTATGATTAAATAAAGAAGTAATTTTTGTATTCAAAATCTCTAATTGAAAATTGTAAATTTACAAAATGTTTTTAGAATAAAAATTCTATATTTTAATTAGAAAAATTAAATTAGAAAATAAGAAATTATTTTTAAATACTTGAATAATATATTCTAACAGAAAATTTGTTAATTAAATGATTCAATATAATTTATATATTTTAAACAAATTAATATATTCATTTTTTTGTTTATTATTATTAAATCTTTTATTAATGTTATATACTGTTGTTAAAAATACATAAACACCGTTTATTCAATGATATTCAGAAAATTAAAA